TAATGTATATCAGGTTGTATATCTTTAATATAAGTGTTAATAACAAATTTACTGATGTTAACCAATAAGTAACAATATTGCTAATTTATGTTACACTGGGAATGTGTAGATACTAAGTCACACACACACACACACACACACACACACACACACACACACACACACACACACACACACACACACACACACACACGTACAATCCGGATACAAGCACTACCAGGATGACGTGGCAGCCAGAACTAGAGAAAGTGCAGCAGAGAGCTCTTGTTATAAAGTGCCATGTAGATTATAACATTAATGTTATTTAAAAAGAGGAAATGTACTTTGGAATTCGTTAGTCAGTTTATGCACTCATTCATTATCAAGAATGACTCATTTCCCATTAAGAAAATACTTGAATGAATAATTTAGCAAATATTACTAACACGCTCTTGATGAAGGTCAACTACTGTTTAGAAAAATTATATTTTTAAGTTGATTATAAATTATTGGTAAAATGACGATAAACACTATGAGAAAAATACTTGAAATCACTATTAATTTGTTTTTCACACTCACTTATCTGTATATGAAATATATAAAAGTGAAAATATTTCGAAGGTGAAAAATTATGAGTTCGATTTTTCAGATTTGATGTTCTCTCAGTCTAAATAATCAAGACTCATGATATTGCGCACGCGCATGTGTGTACATATGGACAACATAGCTCAAAATAAATTTTAAAAAATCTAGTGTATCCACTTACTTATTCTACTTATTTCAGAAAAGTTTTTATATCTTTACAAATGTTTATGAAGAAACAAAACAAAATTGAACTAGATTTATTTTCCTGAAAATTGATCAAAGAAAAGATTAAAGTACGATTTCTTTGATAAACTGAAGCTATGTAAACCGGCTTAAGGTAGATCAGTGTAAAAATTTCAATACCCTCTAATATTGCCGATAAAAACTTTTTGCCATAGTTTAGTACTGTTTAATAATAATTTCTGTTAAAAGTAGAGGAAATAGTGAAGCTTGTGTGATGCGGGCAACAGATTTTCTTACTTACATTAAGTTGTCTTTTTTCTTTCATTCAACCCTTTCTGACACCAGAATATGAACGCTTAATCTTACGTTGGACATTGAATAGCTGAAACTTTGTTAATAGTGGTCCAAAATAAATGATTTTTATCGGAGCTCTGAGGGAGCTCTGAAACGTAAAGATCCGTCGAAAACCGCATATCGGAAATTTGACCCGATTGCAATACTGGAAAATAATAAGTTAAAACATGTGTAAAAAATAGAATAAGCTGTATCATCGCTAATACTGGTTCGATTCCAATGATATTTTTTTGTTTTATTGGTAATTTAATTAATTTTCAAATGCTTTATTATAAATTTTACCGTATAATATATACTTAGGGAGTTAGGCCCCATAACATTTTTCTTTTCTTTATAACTTTTTTCCTGAATTTTCTCGGGAATTTAGTCCATATACGAAAATTGGAAGGACAATTATTAGAACATTATACGAAAGTTTCATCAAAATCGTTAGAGCCGTTTGGCGCTACAGTCTATAGACAACATGTTTTTCATTTATTGCGCGCAAGCTATTGCGCATGGAGCACCGAATTTCTGTCGCAGGCATCAGTACTCAAAACCCTACGAAATAAAAAAAGAAGCAACAAAATCGGTTCAGTAGTTTCCGAGAAAATCTTGGCACAGACAGACAAACCAATGGCAACAAATGGGTTTTTCGGACAGAGGGAGCTTTGGAACGTATAGATTCGTCGAAAACCGCATATCGAAAATTTAATCCGATCGCAATACTTTCCTTAGTGTAGGTAGGAAAGTAAAAAAACTTACGGCATTGAAATTACTTATTTAAATTAGGTATTTGCCTGGAATATTATAACTTTTAACTTTATACTATGGAATTTACACATTTTTACAATTTTCTGGAAAACAGCTCTACCAACTTTGACTAAATTTGTTATATCTATGTTAACTTAAGTATTCCTCAATATCAGTAAGGTCTTTTATTCTTATTGAATTAGTCTAAATACCGAATTTTCATAAAGTATCTTTAATTTTAGAAATAAATAATGTTCTACTCTTATATTAATACAAAATGGATAAATAGTAATTATGAAAAAAAAAATGATAATGTATTGCCTGTTAAAGTTTTAATTTCTTTTTTGAGTAATAATATCGATGCATGATTAACTATTGGAAAGTTAAAGATATCAGAGAAATGAATGTCAAAGTCATAAAGTCGTATAATGTAAAAGAGTGTGACAAAAGGCAATAACATTTATTACTTGTTGTTAATAATTTCTAGTTTTATTTTATCGAATGGGAAATAAATGTTTCTACAGAAACTAGATAGAATTTTCTATTTTCTATTTTCTATTTAATTATTAATTCACATTAATAGTCTAAGTTCGTGTTATTAAAGTAATATTCTTCTCCTTTCTCGTCCATATTCTCAACACGAGATATCAACAAACAAATCAGTTTTCTTTTAGAAATCCTTTATAATGCGTGCTACATTGTTTTGAAATTAATTTTAAACACCAATTACTTACCCATCTCCTTCATGGGATAAAGAACTATATGTTCCGATTTGGCCCAATCCAGATACCTATCCTTGCATCACAAACTGCAGAACCATCCGAACCCTCTCGTTTCAAACCTTGCTTCCTTCTCGATCCTTGATAAACCTCCGAGGCATCTGAAAAGAAGATGGCCTCGGGACCTTCTAATATAGAACTTTAATTTGAGTTGGGTAGTTTCTCTTCATGTAGTATATGACATGTTACCAATGCCACATTTACTTGTTGTATTTTTCATGTAATACAGTTGTAAATTTCATTAAATAAATAAATTAAAAAAAAAACTTCCTAAGGTTTATTACTTTTCTAAGAAATTTATTTAAATTAAAAATTCTATGATGCTCCAGATTTTGTGTGTAAGTCCAGGTGCCAATAGTAAATTATCTATCAAAATGGTTAAATTTGTTTAATAAATCTTAAAAGTAAAATAAAATAGTTGTGGATTACCTATCCCATTCCACGTCCAGACCTGAATAAAATGTATTTTAAAAATTATTAAAATGATATGCATTTTTTGTTTTTAAAATACATTGTATTTTAATTACAAAATATTTAAATTTATAATAAAATGTGTTTTAAATACAACTAAAAGTATTTTGTATTTTAATTACAAATACAAAACACTTTGTATTATAGATTAGTATATAATATAGGGGACTTTCTCTATTTGGTAACTTATTTTTATTTGAAAATACAAAATAAAATCCTTTTTTGTGCTTTAGTATCTTGGAAATAAAATAAAAATACTTTTCTTTGTATTTTAAATTTTACTTCTTAAAAACTTATTTATTTCTGTATTTTAAAATACTTTATTTTAAATACTCCCCAAGTCTAACTAAATTAAATATATCATCCAGGTATAGTTAGTATACATTGAGGTTGTGTGGAGCGGGCACAGGTGAGCACAGAGTTGGAGAAAGTTGGACCAACTCTCACTATCCAGCTCTTCTCGTCGTTACTATATATGTATATCTATCTCTATCTTTATCTGTATAGTATCAATGTATCGATTGATTATATAGTATCGATAGTCAATAATTATAATTAGAGCTCTGCCGCGTGCATACTATCGGTTTATTGCAAATAGTCACGAATTACATTTTTGATAAAGGTTAACTTTCAAATATATTATTGGGAATTCCTACCTTGTTCTTTTATTTAAAAAAAACAACTCCGTCTGTGCATTAAAATGACACACACCCTTTAATAATAATGAAAACTATTTGGCCCGTGCGAAAAATTCGCAGAAAATTTTGTTTAGTGAATAAATAGTAAAACAATATGGAAATAGTTCTATAGTAGGAATAGTAGGAACAAAGTAGTTCCTATTTATTATGTAAGGATGGAATTAATATTTTTTTCCTTAGTCGATTACAATATTCCAGTAACATAATAAACCAAAATGTTTATACAAATTGCTGTGCTAGGATCTATTTTTAAACGCTGACTGGAAAGATAATAAAAGTAATAAATACAAAATAATGCCCTGATCATAGGATATTCTAAATTATTAAAAAAAATAAAATGTAAGTGCAACCAAATTTCTTCAAGAAATAATAAAGTTAATATAAAGGTCAGGAAAAAAAGTGTAGTAGACTTTTCTACTCCTAAATGCAATATATTTAAACAGGAAGCATACCAAAACAAATGAACTGTATCTTTGTTCATAATTGTCCGATTTTTATGATTTTTTTTTGTTTTGTAGGTAATTTATTAATCTTCCTAATTATCACGGGTACAATCCCGAAAAATATGCATACTTTTTGAGTTATTCGCAGATAAAGTATCTTTTCCTTTATAACTTTTTTTCCAGAAATTTCGGGGGGATTGAATTATTTTTCGCATATGAAGGAGAAGAATATCTTCTAAATGAGTGGTCAATCATTGGTTTTGATGAAGAATTGGCAAAGTTATGGCGTACCGACAAAAAAACACCTTTTAGAAATAATATATAGGCTGATAAGTTTATTTAAATGACATTTACAATTTACAAAATGTACATAAAAATTGGTAATGTTTTGGTGGACAACATTTCACACTCGAGATAATCTTAAAATTAAAATCTTTAAAACCATTCTTTGTTATATTTTATTTTATTTGTTCTATATTGGAATGTGGGAAATTTTCCCCTCCTCTTTCTACTCCCATACAATTCATATAATATCAGTTGTTGACTAAACCTCTTTGTTTTCATATTATAGACCTTGTAAAGGGAGATTTAATGACATAAAATAATTTTGAAAATACCGATGTGGAAATTTCTCAACCAATTGTTGTAAAGCAGATCTAGAATATTATATGTTTCTTAGTAATGTCGATACTTTTGTGATTATGTTTTTGTATATTAATTATAATTTCCTTTAATTATGTATATATATATATTTAGTTAATGTCCTTTTGTTTCAGAATAACCGCTTATGTTGCCACTCTTGTCTGCTGCATCGATTTGGAAGGTAATATTTAAAATATAACTAAGATATATTGTATTGAATACGTACATTTAAATAATTTCTTGTTATCAAATCGTTTCCTAATAAAAAAAACGCTGCAAACTATTATACAATGGTTTCTTTTCTATTATTATTTTTATTTCCGAAAAATGTGACATCAAGAAAAACATTTCCACGTAACGTAAAGACAAAGACGATACCTGATATTGGCCAAATATTTTTCTTTCATTATCTATAATTTGTGAAAAAAAAAAATAGACAATATTGCCTCAATTCAAAAACCCCCCCAAAAAATATAAGCTTCGCATTAGAACATATGAATAATCTTTAGATCACCATATCTTTGTCCCGAATCGTTCGGTTTCAATGATTTTTTTAGGAAATTTCGTAAAAAAGTTTATACTTCTTGATTTATTCGGAAATCTAAATTTACCACCTTTCGTAACTTTTTTTTCAAATTTCTTTTCCTTGAAGTAAGTTATATCAATAAATTTAATAAAGGGAGAGGATCAGACGAGTTTAATTGAAATAGGTACATTCGTTTAGGCGCTGCAGTCTATACCAACTAGTGTTGCCCAAAATCAGTCTTGGTCTTGCAAAGTGCAAGACCAAGACCAAGGCCACCTAACTGTTGCAAGACCAATACCAGGACTGGAAAAAAATCGATTTTTTAAAAATAAAAATTAAGGCTAAATAGTTACTAATACTTGACAATCTTAGTTACTATATGTTAATAATTGGTATAACCAATATTCTTTTGCATTTAACTCCTCTAATTTTTCATTCGGGGTTAGTTAAGTTTCTTCTAAAAAATCTAAAAAATTACAGTAACAACTCTATAGTAAAAAGCTAATAAGTAACTGTAAAACTGTTGCGAGAGTCTTGCGCAAGACCAAGACCATGACCAAGACTGAGGTTGCAACACCAGTACTCGTCTCGGTCTCGCATTTGGGCAATACAGGTTTTTCGGCCCCCGTCTTAGAAGGAAAGGGAGGATAGTAATGTCAAGGCAGGACGATCATCCTCGGGTGACCTCTGACTTCGATTCAAAATTTGAAAAAAAATCGGTCCAGTAGGTTCGGATAAATACCATGTACGGCAGACAGACAAAATGTTTTTTATTTGATTTCGAATTCTACGTATCCTGAAACAAAAACCTAAAATTTTGAGGGGGGGAGAGAGGAGGAGGTTTAATTTTTTTTTGACGGTTAAAATAGTTCATTATTGGAAATAATAAACCAAAATATAACTTTAAGAATATAAAACATGTCCTCACTGAACTCACATGTCCGAAGAGGATGTCTTTCCCTAGTCGACGACTATCCATCCAAGTACTTACTATTAATGACGAACCTACGAATTTAGTTGAACTTTTTTGGAGAACATCTTGTGATCCCATCATAATCTTATATGATAACTGCTCAGCTGAAATAGCTTTATAACATATTCGACCTCCTTTCGCTTGGAACGGGGAGCGGAAATGAGTACAAGAACAAAGCCGGATTAGGCGGGAGATCAACCGAATGACGGAAGTCCATCATACCCGGAAGAATTGATTAATTCATTTCCCAGGTGAAGTACCTGAGTCAAGATGTCATCGAATTTAGAAATTATTTATCGAATGTTCTTTGATTATTTTTTCAACAATCATAACTTCTAAAAATATTTTCGTCATTGGTTTGGCCACTCATTGGTCCTCTCACACTAAGCAACAAAATTTTTTCTAAAAATATATGCTTTCATACTAATGATTAATGATTCTTACAAATCCATGATTAATAAATAAAATCCATTTATTCATATTATTTTTTTCTCTTCGATTGATGTGACTGACTTGGTAGATATTCGGCCGGCTGAACAAGTTTTCATCACCTCTGACTTAGGCTAGGGATGGCCATAGATAGCCGATATTATCGAAATATCGGTATTTTCTCCCGATATTCGATATTTTACCATCGATTGTAGATACTTCGATATTATCGACTATCGATATCGTCTCTTCGAATTATATATGAATCTAATAATTAAAATAAAATATATCTATTCATCTAGCCTGATTCATATACCTAGTTCTGCCATAAATACTGTTACAAAAGTTTGTTTACATCCTCTGGTATTATTTAGATAATCCTTACCTCTATCAGGTTATTTTTCTTTATATGTCAGGATAATAATCCTAATTATTTGGTAGTTTTCTTTTGCTCAGTTAACCTGGAGTGGGGTGATAAAGAAAATCGAATATCTGTGATCGCCTTACACAAAGTTGGAAAATGTAGGTCAGAGATCTTCAACACTTTGAAACCTTTGGGTATCAGCCGTATGTTCGTGTACTGCACTATAAATAGATATAATGAGACCCTATCTGTATGTGACAGACCTCGACCGAGCCATCTCCGCACTGTGAGAACGGCAAATGCAGTGAGCAGTGGCTGCTCGAATCAGAAGAAATTTCATTCCAAAACAGATCATCTCTCGGAAAATGGAAATCTCTGTCAAATCAATATCTCGCATAGTAAAAACTGACCTTAGGATGGGTGAATTTCGAAGAATCACAGAACAAATGCTAACCACCTCCCAAAAAAAAAAATTGAGTGGATAGATGCAAAGGGCTCCTTGCGATGAGAAAATATTTACAATTGAATAAAAATTGAATCGCCAACATGATCTTGTGTACTCACACAGCTCTAAAGATGACCAGGAAGTCATTGGAAGAGTGGAAAGAGGTCATCACCCTTCCTCAGTGATGGTTTGGTGGTCATTTTTCTTTGATGGTACCACAAAGATCCATTTTTGTGAGAAAGAAGTTTAAACAGCCGCTAAAAATTACCAGGACGATATTATGGAACCTGTTTTCAAGCCTCTAAATGATACTCTGTTTGCTGTTAGTCATTAAGTTTTATAACAGGATACCGCTCCAGCTCACAAGGCCAGGTAAACTCAGCAATGGCTACAAAAGAACATTCCGAGTTCATCTCTGCCTCGGATTGGCCCTCAGGAAGCCCTGATCTTAACCCACAAGATTATCGGCTTTGGTCCGAGCAGGATAGGAAGGCATGCCATAGAGCACACCCTAACTTGGAAAGCCTCAAACAATCTCTGGTCCGAGCAGTTGAGCGCTTTCCTCAAGAAGTGCTGCGTGCTGCTATTTATATTGATATTTCCATTAATTAATTTAAATTATATTGATATTCGTATGTCAAAAATGTTTATAATATCGACTGTTACTTTAGTACTCTGATACTAGATCACACTAGTTATCGTATATCAGAGTTGGATTCATCACAGCATTATAGACATATAATTTTAGATATCTAAAGATTTTTCCCTTGATTTCAATTCAAATGAAAGAGAGAAGAAAACTTTGTTTACCATTTTCAACTTCTGAAAAACATAACCTGTCTCTATATTTTATTTCTATCTAAACTACTCGATTAGCCAAGTTTCATCCAATTTATCACTTATATTAGTTTCTTTTCCTTATAGTTATATAAAATGGACAAATTCGATAAAATACGCTTAACTAGGTATCGAAATTTTTTTTTTAATGATTTTTCGATTGACCCTACTCCTTCTCGATTTGTGTTATGATTATATAAACAAACAAATGACTGATAGAGTTGTGATTAAGATAAGATAAAAGTAATTTTTTACAAATTGACGTACGAGCGCCTCGCGGTCTCAGTTTGGGACAGTTCAGAGGAACCATTCATTCAGAAGGCCGTGATAAACTATTATGGAATAAAAATCAGTAGATCAATATATACTTTAATTTTTTTTTCGAATCAAGAAATTTTCACAGGTAAGGAAATTATTATTATTATATACAATAATTTATTTCAAAGTATTTTCTTTTCACTTAATGTTTTATATGTATCTCATTTCGTATCAGTTCCACTTCTATGATAAGTGAACGTACCATCACTAATACCTCACTAAAAAAAAATCAGACAAGTAGGGTCTCTACAACTTCCTTATGATAACAAATTATTACACAATTACCTATGTATCATGATCATTAAGTAATAAAATCTATGGGAACAGCTGTTTTTGAAGTATAGTCTTGTCGAGAAAAAACACATGCCTTAGAGATAGAAGTAAATAACAATGTCGATTGTGGAGCATCGAGTACACAATTCCTGAAAATTAACGAAACTAGGCGTTATGTATGCCCTTCACTTATAATGCGACTACAGAATATAGTTTAAATTAAATTTTCGAATACAGTTTAAAGCATGGTTTGAAAACAGTAATTAAAAAAATCAAAATCAAATCTGATTAAAATTGTTATCTGGATTTTTTAAAAAATATTTTAGTCATTTTTATTAAGAGGGAATTTTATATTCTCCTTTTTTTTTTTCTTTTGGCATTAAAGACTATGTAGATCTTTTGCTTCCTTAAAAAGCCTGCTCCATCTTTGCCTGTCTTGGGCTATTTCTTTCCAGTTATCTGCACGCAGCTCTGGTGCATTTTTGTTGATTCTATCTATCCATCTGCTTTTTGGTCTTCCACGTGGTATTTTGCCTTCTATTGAGACATTCATTGTAATGTAGTTGGTTTGCTACGAGCTTCATGCCCCGACCATCTTAACCTCTGTGCCTTCATATCATGGGATATTGATTGACCAGTTTCTGTAAGCAGTCTTTTATTGGTCTTTCTTCTCCATGTGTTAGTACTCTGGTCACAGATCGCTCCAGATATCGTGCGGAGGATTTTCCTCTCTAATCTTTCAACATTTTTTTCTAGGGTGCTGGTTAGTGTACAGGTGTCACAGCCATATATTAAAACTGGCTTTATCATAGCCTTATACACCCATTGTACATTGTTCATTTGAGATTTCTTGAGATTTTTCGGGATTTCAATATCTTTGACAGGGAGAAGAAAGCTCAGTTTGCACTAGTTATACGCTGGTCTATTTCTGCCCGTTGGTCATTCATTGAGGTTATTGTGGAGCCGAGATATTTGAATTTTTCTACTCTCGGGAATGATTTTCCTTCTACGCAGAT